AATTTAATAAAATTAAGCATTTATTTAATCAAATAAACATTACAATTAATATAGAAAAACNAGCAGGTTCCAAACAGGTTCCAAAACAGGTTCCAAACAGGTTTCAAAACAGGTTCCAAACCGGGTACCCCCTACAGGTTCCAAACAGGGTACCCTTTTTACAGGTTCCAGTTCCGATTCCGGTTCCTCCACATGCAAGAACCAAAACCGGAACCGCATAGTAGCGGTTCCAAAAAATTGGAACCGGAACCTACCCGCACAGTGCAGGTTCTGGGTAGGTTCCGGTTCCGGTTCCGGTTCAGGTTCTTAGCCCCAGTTCTGGTTCTACCCGCTACCCGTGCTCACCCCTAGTTAATAGTTTTTTGAAAGGTATAGTTGTATGAGTAAGGCAAGAGAAAAGTAGGTGAATGTTGTGATGTGTTTTTTTTTTTTAATCGTTTGTATTTTTTATTATTATTTATTAAGTTATTGAGATTAATTAGTTTAAATATTTTTATAAATTATGTATGGTAGTGTTATATGTTTAGTTTAATTTTGTTTCTTTCCTAACTTTGGAAATGTATGTGTTGTTTCTTTCCTAACTTTGGAAATGTATGTATTGATTCTTTCCTAACTTTGGAAATGAAGGTTTAGATGTAATAAAATATAGAAGCTGACTATTTCTGTAAACTTCACTTTGCTCATCTGGATTCTATAAATTATTTCTATACTGATTTCAATTGTTATTCCTGCTGCAGAGACCCGTTGAAAGATCTTCTGGTGCAAAGCAAGACCTTAGAAGCTTTAAGCCTATATTGGAGTATATAAACGTGTTGCCTGTAAGCTTCAAGCGTTGCCTGTAACCTATAGGCGTGGTACCTTTTTTGACATCCAAGTAGTGAAGAAAATAGTAATATTTTGACATTTACCTAACAAAAAAAGTGTAGTTATTTCAAACTAATGGCTAACACATTCTATACTTTTTATTCATATGTTAGTTACAATTGGATGTGTTTATGATACATGTATAGATATATAATATTTTGTTATTACTTGATTATTTGTTTTGTAGTAGTATCAATTTGACATTAATTAATATTTTTTACTTAGTTAAAAAGATGTTTCATATGAACTTTTTGGCTTTGAGAATCAATACATTTGTTAATTTTCAATCAGGAACAAATACTCGTTGTAATTCAGCATAAAGAAATGATGAAATATTTTATCTCCAAATTTTGACACAATAACAGGAATGAAAATTTTCGTCTCCAATTCACCACACCATTAGGGACATAAAATTTTTGTCACCAATTCACCACACCATAGAGACGAAAATTTTCGTCCCCAATTAACGACACATATAAAGACGAAAAAAATTTGTCCTCAATTGTGCTTTTTTTTTTTGGGGGGGGGGGGGACAAATAGTTATTCTTTTGTAGATAAAAATTTTTGTCACAAAATAAATAATTTTTAATGACGAAACCGTATTTTGTCCCTAATGGCGTGGCTTTGGGACAATCTGTTTTTTCATGGGCATTATCCTTTGGTAACGCATCTTTGGTGACGATTTGGTTTGTTGTCCTGCATTATTTTTTAGGACGAATTTTTCACTTTCTGTGACGAAAATTTTTGTCCCTAAATTTTAAATTTCTTGTAGTGCATACTTAGAAGATTTGTAATATTTGATATTGTCCAAGTATGTTAGCTTTGCTAGAATTATATTATTGCCTTGTATGTATTGATTTACATTTATTCCTTTTATTTTATTTCCTTACATATTACGTTTACAATTGTATAAATTGTAACTCTTGTACATGAAATACAATATACAAATTATTCTTCTCTCTTTCTTTCTTGCTTATATTCTCTTGGCATACTCAACATCCAAAGTTGCTTCTCTTACCTCTCTTCTTCTTGCACTCTTTGGTAACTCAGTTGCCTCTTTGTGCTACTCCAATATCAGATTCTTACATGGTATTGGATCCCAGGTTGCCCTGCCAGCCACTTTCCTTGTTGCGTGCCAATAATCCAACTCATGTCCCTTGCCTTTTTTCTTGCAAAACAAATTCTAGGGTTAGTCCTTCAAAACCAAATGGATTCAAACCAAAAAACCACAACAAACCCAATTAGGCTCAGCACACCAAATACTGGCTCAAATTCAACAAACAACCAGACTGATCCAAACCCAAACCGAGACAGTAAAGCCAACCCAAACACACAAATAGGCCCAAATATACAGCCCAATCAAGACAACCAAACTAGGCCCAACCCAAACACTTTTCCAGGCCCAAACACCTTTCCTTTCGGGTGTTCGGGTCAAACCGACCCAAATCCATTTCCTTACCAATTCCAAATTGTGTAGACCTAACTTCGTCGGCCGAAGCTTGGTGATCCCCTCTATTCCGCCCCATTTGATGGACAAGAACTTGTTCTGGTTAAACATGTTCTCATTGGCACAGAGAACTACGCGACATGGGCTCGCAACTTCCGGTGGGCACTCATCGCTAAAGACAAAGACGGGTTTATAGATGGCATCATCACACTGGCAGAAGAACCTCATCTCCACAAACATTAGACCAACTGTAACATGATGGTCCGTTCATGGATTGGCAACTCCTTGACCCAGGAGGTAGCCACTGGTTTACCTCCAACAAAAATCGCCAAGGAGTTCTGGCGATTTATCAAGGAGATGTATGGCCAGTTGGATTTGGCCAAAATCTTCACTCTACAACAAAGTTTTGTTGACATCAAGCAGTAGAATCAGACCATGACGGTCTATTACAATTGACTCTCGGCCTTGTGGAATGAGCTTGATGCTATCACCGATCCTCTTCGTGGACCACCAAAAACACTATAGTAGTTCCAACAGATCAAGGAACAAGATCGTTTAATCCATTTTCTTCTTAGATTAAACGATAATTTCTTGGCTTTTTGCACCCAAATGTTGGCCACCACATCGTCGATGTCACTCCGCCATGTGTATCAACTGGTTGTCCAAGACTAGAGTCAACGCCTGGCTTCCATGGAATCACCACAGTTGGGTGATTCCATGGCCTTTGTCGCCGACAGAGAAACCAAAGGAGAGAGGTTGCAACTAGGTTTTCCAAATGACAAGGAAAAGGGTAATCTTTTATACAAGGGAATGAATGGCCAGGATCTTCAAACAATCTGACAGCCCACAAGCAATCAACCAAGTCAATAGAGTCAATGATCAACAGTCAACCTGGTCAAATTTTGGGCAATTAATCTAATGGCTCATTTTTCATAAACTCTCAAAGTGGATCAAATGGTATAAGATCGTCCAGATCAGGTAGAAAAATGTATTGTGACTACTGCAAAAGGCGGAACCACAATCGGGATAGATGTTGGAAATTACATGGTTACCTTGAGGACAAAATTGGCAATCCAACTGCAAATAGTATGAATGTCACTACCACATCAAGATTTGAGGCCCAATCATCTTTGATCAAGCCTGAACAAATCACTCAACTCATCCAAATGCTGAATCAACTCCCAACAAACAATGCTTCCGCTAGTTATGCAAGTACATATTTTTGTTTTAGTAATTCAATTTCCCAAGATTTATGGATTATTAACTTAGGTGCTAGTGATCCCATAATTTGTGACCCTAAATATTTCCAATCACACACAAACACCATTACACAATTATCTGTTAGAATGCCGAATGGTAATATTGCCAAAGCAACTCACATAGGGGTAGTCAAACCTACTGAAGGCATAACTCTCAGAAATGTCCTTTTCGTCCTTGCTTTCAATTTCAACCTCATATCTGTATCCAAATTTTGCACTGACAATGATTGCACATTACAATTCCTTCTGGATGTTGTGTACCTTTTAGGATCCTTTAACTAGCAAACAGATGGGTCTTGGGTAAGGCCCACCATGGTCTCTACTATTGGGAGCCTTTTTCTTTTTTTCCTAGAAATAAAAACTATTATTGTAATGCCAATTTTAATAATAAATCTCTGATTTTTTTATCAAAGAATGGGCCACAGTGCATCTATACCTCACTCTAATTGTCCAATTTGTCTCATTGCTAAACAACCAAGAACAAATTTTCCCATTAGCACATCCTCCACTAAACACCCTTTTGCCGTAATCCATCTTAATATCTGGGGCACATACTTTGTTCCCAATCATGATGGATCCAGGTATTTCCTTACAATAGTGGATGATTTTTCATGTAGAACCTGGATATTCTTGATGCAATCCAAAGCCTAAGCGTTTTCTCACATCCTTAACTTTCTCTCTATGGTCCAAACACAACTCAAAATACGAGTTCAAAGGATTAGGACTGACAATGCTTTAAAATTTTTTAACCAGTAGTCTTCTTCCTTGCTCCTTTCCCACGGGATTCTCCACGAGAGTTCCTGTACGTATACTCCTTAACAAAACGAGATTGTTGAACGAAAACACCGTCACCTATTAGAAGTAGCCCGAGCCCTTAAACACCAAGCCCATATCCTCACCAACTTTTGGGGTGAATGTGTGATTATTGCTACCTATCTCATTAATCACATGCCTTCACGAGTTATTGGAGGTAAAACTCCTTTTGAATTACTGTTTGGAAAGATACCTGATAACACTCACTTATGAGTTTTTAGTTGTTTATGTTATTCCACCATAGTGGGTTCCCCTGACAAGTTTGCTCCTCGTGCCAGGAAATGTATTTTCATGGGCTATCCTATGCTCTAGAAAGGGTATCGCCTTTATGATCCTCAACTTAACAAATTCTTTGTTAACGGAGATGATGTCTTCCATGAGGGAATTTTTCCTTTCTCGGAAGTGCCACTCCATCCCTTCTATCAACACCTGCCTCACTGGATCATCAGCCAGATACTCCCATCATTGTGGTTCCCTTTCTGCTTACTCAGCCAGAGTCTGATCATACTCCTGATTCGCATCCTGACTCCACAGTTTCTGATACACCTCCAAGATCTCCCCACACCACGGATCCGTCCTCTTCGGGTCCTACTTAGGATACTTCTCCACTTATAGATATGGCTATTCCTACTCCTTCACCAGTTACTGTTCCTTTACGTCGGTCTTCTAGAGTTACCCGACCACCTGTTTGGACAGCTGATTACATCTATTCCACTATGGAAGGTACTAATTATCCCATATCTACATAAGTTAGTTTTGACAGATTATCACCTGGACATATATTCTGTATGAGCAATATTTCCGCTGATCGAGAACCAGTCACCTTTTCTGATGCCATTCAACATGATTGTTGGTGTCAAGCCATGGAGGCAGAATTAAATGCTCTAGTTAATAATCACACATGGACCTTGTTTCCCGACCCTCACACAGGAAACCTATTGGTTGTAAGTAGGTCTACAAAATCAAATATTGTGCTGATGGTTCCATCGAAAGGTATAAAGCTCGCCTTGTTGCCAAAGGCTTCACTCAACGGGAAGGGTTTGACTATCAAGAACCTGTAGCCAAACATGTCACTGTCTGTACATTCTTTTCTGTAGCTTCTCACCATGATTGGCCACTCCATCAGATGGACGTTCATAATGTTTTTCTCCATGGGGATCTTGATAAGGAGATTTACATGGATATTCCTCCCGGTCTTCGCAATCAGGGGGAGAATCTTGTATATAGATTGCGGAAATCTTTATATGAGCTAAAGCAAGCATCATGGTAGTGGAATGCAAAGTTTACAGAAGCTCTCACAACCATTGGATTCACTCAATCCAAACTTGATTATGCGCTATTCTCCAAACAAAAGGGTGAGTCTTTCATCAATCTCATAGTTTATGTTGATGACATTCTCATTACAGGAAACGACGAGAAAGTAATCATAGAATTGAAAGAGTATTTTCACAATACATTCCACATTAAAGATTCAGGGGCACCAAAGTTTTTTCTGGGTATTGAGATTGCTTGTTCCTCAGAAGGAATATCTCTCAGCCAATGGAAGTATGTGTTTGAACTCATTGCAGATTCAAGGCTAGCCACATGCAAGCCAAGCATCATTCCTGTAGAGCAAAATGTTAAGCTTACCACACAAGAATATGATGAGAAAAGCCAAAATCCTGAGATTGATCTATTATTAAAAGATAGCTCTAGCTATCAATGGCTTGTCAGAAGGCTCATTTATCTCACCATGACTCGACCATATATCAGCTATGCAGTTCAAATCCTCAACCAATTCATGCATGCCCCAAAGCAATCCCACATGGATGCAACAATGAAGGTACTAAAATATTTGAAGGGTTGTCCATGGTTGAGACTTCTTTTACCAAGGAAAGGAGACCTCAACATCATTGCGTATTACGACTCAGATTGGGGTTCATGTCCAATGACAAGAAGATCCCTCATTGGTTTTTGTGTTAAACTTGGCGGATCACTTATCTCATGGAAAACAAAGAAGCAATCTACCATACCGCTCTCATTAGCAAAGGAAGAATACAGAGCCATGCCCAAAACCACATGTGAGGTCACATGGATTCTTGGACTATTAAAGGATCTAAATCTACAAGTGGAGACACCGATTAAACTATATTGCGACAACAAAACAGCCAAAGACATCGCAATCAATCTAGTATTTCATGAAAGAACAAAACATATAGAGATTGATTGTCACTTTGTCAGAGACAAGATACAGGTATAATTAAAACAGAGCACATCCGAACCACATATCAACCAGTAGACATATTCACAAAACCATTATGTCAGAGGCAACATTCGCATTATTGGGCAAGCTTGAAGTTTATGACATTTATAAACCATGAGCTTGAGGGGGAGTGTTGACATGTGAATGACTGAACACGCCATAATTAAAAGATTTGTAATATTTGATATTGTCCATTTGCGGTAGCTTAGTTAGAATTATATTATTGCCTTGTAGCTATTGATTTACATTTATTCCTTTTATTTTATTTCCTTACATGTTATATTTACAATTGTATAAATTGTTACTCTTGTACATGAAATACAATATACAAAATCATTCTTCTCTCTTTCTTTCTTGCTTATATTCTCTTGGCATACTCAGCAACTAAAGTTGCTTCTCTTGCTTCTCTTCTTCTTGCACTCTTTGGTAACTCAGTTGCCTCTTTGTGCTACTCCAATATCAGATTCTTACAATTGCAATATTTAATTCTTAAATCGCTTTCAAAAGCACGGATAAATTTTCATCTTCTCTCTTCAATCCATTGTAATCAATCAAAGTATGAATTTGTTTTGACCTAAAGCTGCATAGAGATGGCTAGTAAAATTATCGCGGGTATCCTCACCTCTAAACTAAGGAACACATCATACTTGGTTTTGATGGTGACGAGAAAGCCATAGAAGAAAAATGCAACAAATTCACTTGACAGAACACAAATATTATTCTTATTTTTAAGAATAGACTACCTGCAAAGATTATTATATAAACTAGAGAATACCAAGCAGCTGGAGTGTCGCCGAGTTTCATAATTGATAATTACTATTTATTTTCTCAATACCTGCTTTTTCTTTCCGAAAAATCTATTGGGGAATCCATTGCAGGTCAAGTTCTCATTTCTGTGAATGGAATGTTGAAAATAGAGAATTAGGTGATATGATTATAAATGGCTAACAAGTTGAAAGTTTCTACAAAGCAGGTAATTTATTGCTGGATTCTGTAGACTGACCTAGTCATTCTTGGACTTGGAATCATACCCTTTTTACACAGTGATATTGAATCATTTACGGATTGCAGAAGTGATATATGTCTCTCCTTAATTCAACATTCGTCACTTACATGCATGGTGGGATCATAGCATTTTCTTTCCGTCCACCTTTCTTACTGGAAATCTTTTCGTTCATACTATTATGTGGTTAAATTCTGCAAAACTGATTTTTAAGGGACTTAGGATAGCAAGTATTGAGACCAAAAAAAAAAGTTTTGTAATGTTAAGATTATTCATTAGAAGATGTTAGTTTTTTTTTATCTCTTTTCTCTGCTTTTGTATGCATATTTTCACAGAAAAAAATAGACGCCATGGGAGATCCACTCAATTTGTTAATTGATTTTTCATTAGATTTCTGCCATGGGCAAAGATGGAGCTTTAGTAGTTTACTCATTTACTTGTCTCCTATTTACGTTAATGGTTTGGAACTAGGATTGGACAGGATAAAAAAATTGAAACAAACGCAGCCATTTTTTAAGTGATAATTTTTTAGTACCATGCGAACCAAAGTAATTTCCCAAAGGGGTAAATTATAAATGGACTTTTAACATAGCTTGAATAGAAACATGTAAGATATAATCTTCAAACTACAATTGAATTTCATATTCAAAATCTTATATAATTACTTAAATCTTAAATTACAAAAAAATTATATAAAAATGAAATAACCACAATGCCAATTATAATTAGAATATTTATAGTTTTTTTTTTTAATGACAAATATAAACAACTACTAGCTTGTACAGTTGTCTAATTGACTAGTACTAATCAAGGTGTTCCCATTTCTATTAAAGATCATTATGCCTAAATATACAATCAAAATGTGATAATATATTCATGCTCTTCATAAAACTATGAGTTCATGGTATCTATTATGTGATTAAACTTATATTATCTATGACATAAAAATTCATATTTTTAGGATATTATATGTATCAGTGTATGATACTGTTGATGTATGTCGAATCTAAACACATAATATGTAAGTTCTCAACGGTACTAACCGCTTTAAATCATGAGATCCATATAGTTTTGTCCTGAAAAAACACCTCTAGATGACAAGGTGTCTTTGTACTACATAAGCGACCAAAGCCTTCTCTTTTTTTTTTTTTTTTTTTTATTCATTTCACATTTTACAATAATACCATTTGAGATAAAAATTTATAATCAGTTTAAGATATGGAAGAAAATAGTTAATAATCACTTCTTAAACCATGGTCTCACAAAAAATCCATCTAGGTACCGATTTTGATCAATTTTTTAAAATTATTATATGGATATTTATTTATGTACATTTTTTCTTTTTTTGTTCAATTTATAAGGTTTTTTTTTTTTTTTTTTTTTTTTTTTTTTAGGGAATCAAGAGAGAATCCTTATGATTTAATTTAACTGATTATAATATGCAATATAAGAGAGTGAAGTTACTTGTGTTTAAGAATAATATTGCAAATTCATTTTTTTTTATTTTTTCATCATCATAACATTAATACTCTAAATTAGTAATATATTAATGCCATTATGTCATATAATCGTATATAATTTCAATTCTAAGTCTTAAAATGATATAAATTAACCCATAATTATTAAAATTATTTTTTTAATATATGTAAAAATAAAAAGGATTGATTATTATCTCTTTTATTTCTCTTAATTATATCAATTTACTTCACTTATGTAATTATATGTAAACCAAACTTTATAAAGTTGCATAAAATTTTGTCATACTTATTTCAAATGGGCCGTGGGCTTTTAAGACAATCGGCCCATAAGAGTTCATCCTCTGCAACTCAAGTAACTCAACTGCGAGATAGGCGGGGAAACGAAAGTGATTGAAAACTTGAAATTAGGGTTTTTCCCCTCTCTGCACCGTTTTATCAAAAACCTTTGAGCACGGTAAGTTACTCCTTTCTTCCTTACTCTTTTCTTTGTTCTTTTACTGGGTTTCATTTTTTGTGTGATATGGGGTGAGGGTTCCGCTACAATTTTCATGGACATTATTTATATAATTTGTGAAATGGGAAGTGGGTATTTGGGATTTATAGGTATAGTTTTGAAAGATGTGTCTCTTCTGTTGTTAAGGGGTGAAAGCCTGTTTTTTTTTAATTGCATTTTGGTGTTACGGCAACCTCGTTTTAACCCTTCTACGTGAAACGCAAGGCTGAGACGCGGCCACCTGAAGGCCGAAACACTGCAGAATGCTTTATTGATTATTTATATGGTTTCCCTTTAGACATTAATTTAATTGATTATTTGTTAGTAAAAAGAAAGCAGAATGCTCACATTAGGTAATGCTACAGTATGAGGTTGCATGTTATGAATATGATGTTAACTTGTCTTGTTGTTTCTGGTAATGTTGTTTGACTGCATTTCAATTTTTTGTAGTTGGTTTCTTGATTGGTGGCTGAAAAACAATTTTTTGAATGTATCTTGCAGTGTGGCTTGAGCATTTCTCAAATTAAAGAATGGCTTCAATGGGACAAGCACCATCCCTTAAAAGGCGGGATGCTCCGTCCAATAGAGAAGGGGATCAACTTACTATAACCCCTTTAGGAGCCGGCAATGAAGTGGGTCGGTCCTGTGTGTACATGTCCTACAAGGGGAAAACTATTTTGGTATGTCAAGGCTTTAGATTTGAAGTTTTTTCCATTTGTTTTTATGAATTTTGTTCTTAAAATGTGATTGTAGAAGTAATTTTTCCTGTTTTTAACTTGGCATGGATTATAGTTCGACTGTGGAATTCATCCTGCTTACTCAGGCATGGCTGCTTTGCCTTACTTTGATGAGATTGATCCTTCAACAATAGACGTCCTTCTCATCACTCAGTATGTACTTCTTTATATATTTGTTTTCTTTTTCTTATGTTAATTTCCATAATCAGATGTTCGATTGTTGACGCAATTAAATCTATGAATATGTACTAGACGTCATGAAACAAAAGAATTTCAAGAATAATATTTTTGGGCAGTTAACTTTTACTTAGGGTTGAAATTAGGGTTTATAAAATTGTTTTAGTGTTTATGATTTAAGTTAGGCAAAGTTTAGTAGGTCTCCTGTTGAACTGGGCTTAGTGTTTATGGTTTTGCATATGAGGCAATTAAATTATGATTGTAATAAATTTTAAAAATGCTTATATAAGCTCTAACAATATTTGACAGCAGATTCTGAGTAAAATTAAAGGTGGAATCGGGAATTGTCGGCTCTTGTTTTTTTTCTTCCCTTCATTTGGTAATCTGCTAAATTCGATCCAAATAATGGATCTATGCTTTAACCATTGGTTTAGGTTCAATTGGTTTACAAAATTCTAACTTTAGCCAACATCATTTTTCCTTTCATATTCCCCTTTCATGTAGTATTTGATTTATCTTATTCGGCAGTTCTTCCTTCATTTGAGAAATATAGTAGAGCTTTTAATTAATAAAAAATTGACCTTTCTTTTTAGCTTAAGCTGTAAGATTTTGGGGTTCACTATCATCTTAGGTGATAAAAATTGTCGTAGCTCTTTTTTTTGTCTCTCAAATTTACATCGTCATGTAACTCCTGATGACTCTATATTCCTCTGCTTGCAGCTATCATCTGGATCATGCTGCATCCCTACCTTATTTTCTGGAGAAGGTTTTTTGCATTCTTACTGTATTAATACAACATTATTCATATTTTTCTTCAGGGTTAAACTAATACATTTGAATTTTTTATAGACCACATTCAAAGGCAGAGTGTTTATGACTCATGCAACAAAGGCTATATACAAGCTGCTTTTGACAGATTATGTGAAAGTGAGCAAAGTTTCAGTTGAAGACATGTTGTTTGATGAGCAAGACATTAATCGCTCCATGGATAAAATTGAGGTGAGTTCATCATGTGCTGCATGTTTAAATTTCTTTGGTATGCAGACTTCTGTTTTCCCCGAATTCTTGGTTTCCATATCTCTAGATCTACATTCAGTTATTATAAAGTTTCCCTTAAATCTTATATTGTTGTGAACTTTGGCTCTGTTTGTTTAGTTTTTTAGAATAGTATTCTATTATGAATAGGATTTTTGGAAAATAGGATATGATTTTGAGAATGTTTTTGATACATTTTTGGAAAATATTTTTTGAAAATATTTAAATCATTTTTTAACCTCCTAGGTTTGTTAATTGAACACCGTTACAATAAAAGTTTATAAATTTACAAAAACACTCTCACCTACCAAACTATTGTTGGCAGCCGGCCACCACCACCGAACGGTGGCTGGAAGCTGCCGGGATGATGTACAACCGATTGGATCTGGCCGGTCGTGCACTGATCTGACCTTTTTTGATCATATCTACGGCCACAGATCTGGCCATTGACGACGACCATAACTTGACTGTCGTTGACGGCCAAGATATGGCCGTCGTCAATGGTCAAATTTCTCTAGCCGTTAACAGCCAGATCTTTGGCTGTAGATTTGGCCGTTTTTGGCCACATCCATGGTGGCCGGAAACGGATAGATCGGCACACTACCAGCCAGATCCAGCCAATCGTGCGTCGTTACGGTGCCCACGGTGGTTGTTGGTAGGTGGGGGTGTTTTGTTAATGTTTTGAGTTGGATAGAATAAGATTGAATTTTGAAGAGAATTTTAAATATTAAAACAAATATGCATTTTGATAGGATTGGATAGGATAACAGGATAGGATAGTAGGAAAATAATGAAACAAATGGAGCCAGATTTTTAATTTTATTTTGGTGTGGTATGTTGCTATAATTTTATCAGACAGTTTTCAACTTTTAATCAACTTATGGTGGGTGTCAATTTTTTAACCTATAATTTTATTGTATCTAATCATCTAACCAATGATTGTGATAATAATTTTTTTTTATTGACCCTAGGTTCTTGACTTTCATCAAACGGTTGAGGTAAGTGGCATTAAGTTCTGGTGCTATACTGCTGGCCATGTCCTTGGTGCTGCCATGTTTATGGTGGACATTGCAGGTGTTCGAGTCCTCTATACTGGAGATTATTCTCGAGAAGAAGATCGCCATCTCCGTGCTGCTGAGCTCCCACAATTCTCTCCTGATATATGCATAATTGAATCCACTTATGGTGTCCAGCTCCATCAACCACGGCACATTCGTGAGAAGCGCTTCACTGATGTTATTCACACAACTATTTCTCATGGTGGTCGTGTTCTAATTCCAGCATTTGCCCTTGGCCGTGCCCAAGAGCTTCTCCTAATCCTTGATGAATATTGGTCAAACCATCCCGAGCTCCACAATATTCCAATATATTATGCTTCTCCACTTGCCAAAAAGTGTATGGCTGTTTATCAGACATATATCCTTTCCATGAATGAGAGGATTCGCAACCAGTTTGCAAACTCAAACCCCTTCAAATTTAAGCACATTTCACCATTAAATAGCATGGAGGACTTCAATGATGTAGGCCCAGCGGTGGTGATGGCCAGCCCTGGTGTACTTCAGAGCGGCTTGTCACGACAATTATTTGACATATGGTGCTCTGATAAGAAAAATGCTTGTGTCATACCGGGTTATGTTGTTGAAGGGACATTGGCGAAATCCATAATTAGTGAACCAAAAGAAGTGACTCTTATGAATGGTCTCACCGCTCCTCTCAACATGCAGGTCCATTACATATCCTTCTCTGCCCATGCAGACTATGCTCAGACAAGTACATTTTTGAAAGAACTCATGCCTCCTAACATAATTCTTGTTCATGGTGAATCGCATGAAATGGGGAGGCTCAAAATGAAGCTTCTGACTGAGTTTGCGGATTGCAACACCAAAATTATCACCCCAAGGAATTGTCAGTCTGTTGAAATGTATTTTAATTCGGAAAAGATGGCCAAAACCATTGGAAGGCTGGCCGAGAAAACCCCAGAAGTTGGTGAGACGGTCAGTGGTATACTTGTAAAGAAAGGATTCACTTATCAGATAATGGCTCCTGATGATCTCCACATCTTCTCACAGCTATCCACAGCAAATATTACTCAAAGGATTACTATCCCATACTCCGGTGCCTTAGGTGTGGTAAAGTTTCGACTTGAACAGATATATGAGAGTGTCGAGTCATCAACAGATGAGGAGTCTGGGGTTCCCACATTGCGAGTGCATGATCGAGTAACTCTGAAGCAAGACTCAGAGAAGCATCTTTCAATGCATTGGACTTCAGATCCTATAAGTGACATGGTATCAGATTCTATTGTGGCACTCGTTCTAAATATCAGTCGAGAGATCCCTAAGGTAGTCATTGAATCCGAAGCTGTGAAATCTGATGAAGAAAGTGGGAAGAAAGCGGAAAAGGTTATTTATGCACTGCTTGTCTCACTCTTTGGAGATGTGAAATTAGGAGAGAATGGAAAGCTCGTGATAGGCGTTGATGGGAATGTGGCACATCTTGATATACAGGGTGGAGATGTTGAGAGTGAAAATGAAGGCCTCAAGGAAAGAGTGAGAACAGCGTTTCGACGAATTCAAAGCGCTGTAAAGCCTATCCCACTCTCTGCATCTTAACATGTCTTTTCTTCTAATGTATTTCCCATCTCCACTAAACATGTTCCTGGATTTTGATGGAATTTTGGAAACCTTGATTTACTGCAGTTTATAATTTGTATGTTGTGTAGAATGTAGATTGTAATGAACTGAAACTTTTCAGCCCTCTTTTTGTATAGCTTAGCACTGAATTAGACCATGGATACATCAACCCTTCTTCCACAATATCTTTGGTAATTGTTTTTGTAAGATGTTTTTTTCAATAAATTAATGTTTTGCTGTGTGCTTTTTTATGTGAAATAGAAAGAGTTTATAAGTTTAGAATAAGGGTTTGGGTACATTAATATGTTAGTAACATTATTGATATTTGATATTTAATCAATGTTAAATTAGAGTCCACCCAAAGACCGGTAATGTTACTGCTTACAAAATGTAGTTGTATTAAAAACCTCATTATTATCTAAACTTATATCTATAACTAGACATAGGGTCCGTGCATTGTACGAGTATGTTTATTTAATGTTTTTAAAATAGGTTGTAAACAAATTTACTTTAACATAATAAAGTTATTAAATTAAGAGATAATAATCATTAAATTATATAAGTTTTAGAATAAATATAAATTCTATATATGTACAAAGTTGTGTTAAGATAAAATTAATAATTGTATCTTTATAATTATTAATATCAATTAATATTATCAATATCAATTATTTAAACTTAAAATTTATATTGAGCTTTCGTAATTTTTGTAAGTTATATTCATTTTCAAGTTTGACATTGATTGATAAATTTTTTTCTCACAATATAGGATTCATATATTTCTTTAAAATCAGTAATCCTCAGCCAAGGTTTGAAAATAAACGTCTATTCACATAGTTCATTCAAAGGCTTTGTTTGTTTTACAGTTGAGAATATGATAACTCAATTAATTTCTGGGTTAATAATTGTAGAACTACAAATCAGAATATGGAGAGACTAACTTCCATCTTTATACGTTCTTATTTAAAATGGTTGGATTTTTGGAATGCCTATGTAATGTACTTATATAATTATTATTAATACTCATCAAATGTGTGAAGATGGAAGAATTAAATCAAAACCAACGTGTCAAGAAGGAGAATTTTTAGTAGATTCATTAAATAGTAAATGCAATGCGTCAATTAAAGGAACAATTTTCAATCAATTAACGAGTAACATTAAAATCAAGATAAAGTTGAACATAGAGAATAATACTTTTATTATTAAAGAAATAAGTACATCAGTTTTTCATACTGTGAAGTGGGTTTAGATGATGTAGATGGTGTTTATTTTCTATTTCTCTTTTAGTTGTTTAGTTCCTCTAGTACAAATGCATATTCTCTTTTGTTTATGTTATAGATAATATCCATGGCAGATTGCATGATTTCTAACATCTGGTCAATGACTTCTCTGAATTTGTCTCTAGCAATATGTAGATCATCTAGATTGGTGTCAACTTTTTTGAAAATTTTCCTCAATTCTGGCATTCCCTGAAAAATGTCTAAATCGATTGCAGAAACAATATACAATCAACTTTTATAAATATATGGAAATGATAACATGAATCTGTAAATATAATTATGAAATGAACTCTCGACATATCAAAAAAGTTTTTTTTTTATGGTTTTTATATTCCTGCGAATATGTATTATTGTTTTGTTTGACATTTTGTAATTTAGGATACAAAAGATGTGAAACATTCATACCTTCCGGTTGCCTTGGTGGAGAATTATTGTTGTTAAGGTCGTTGCTGATATTCGTTGTAGAGTCTGAGTTGCATGTTATAATATGATGTTAACTTGTCTGTTGTTCTGGTGTTGTGTTGACTGCATTTCATTTTTTGTAGTTGTTTCTTGTTGGTGGCTGAAAAACAATTTTTTGAATGTACTTGCAGTGTGGCTTGAGCATTTCTCAAATTAAAGAAGGCTCAATGGACAAGCACCTCCCTTAAAAGGCGGATGCTCCGTCCAATAGAGAAGGGGATCAACTTACATAACCCCTTTAGGAGCCGGCAATGAGTGGGTCGGTCCTGTGTGTACATGTCCTACAAGGGGAAAACTATTTTGGTATTCAAGGCTTTAGATTTGAGTTTTTTCCATTTGTTTTTATGAATTTTGTTCTTAAAATGTGATTGTAGAAGTAATTTTTCCTGTTTTTAACTTGGCATGGATATAGTTGCGATGTGGAATTCATCCTGCTTACTCAGCATGGCTGCTTTGCCTTACTTTGATGAGATTATCCTTCAACATAGAACGTCCTTCTCATCACTCAGTATGTACTTCTTTATAATTTTGTTTTCTTTTTCTATGTTAATTTCCATAACAGATGTTGTTTGACGAATTAAATCTATGAATATGACTAGACGTCTGAAACAAAAGAATTTCAAGAATAATATTTTTGAGCAGTTAACTTTTACTTAGGGTTGAAATTAGGGTTTAAAAATTGTTTGTGTTTGATTTAAGTTAGGCAAAGTTTAGTAGGTCTCCTGTTGAACTGGGCTTAGTGTTTATGGTTTTGCATATGAGGCAATTAAATTAGGATTGTAATAAATTTTAAATGCTTATATACTTAACAATATTTGACAGCAGATTTGAGTAAAATTAAAGTGGAATCGGATTGTGGCTCTATTTTTTTTCTTCCCTTCTTTGGTAATCTCTAAATTCGATCCAAATATAGATCTATGCTTTAACCATTGGTTTAGGTTCAATTGGTTTACAAATTCTAACTTTAGCCACACCCATTTTCCTTTCATATTCCCCTTTTATTGAGTATTTGATTTATCTTATTCGGCGTTCTTCCTTCATTGTTTGCAGCTTAAAAAATGTAGAGCTTTTAATTAATCAAAAATTGACCTTTCTTTTTAGCTTAAGCTGTAAGATTTTGGGGTTCACTATCATCTTAGGTGATAAAAATTGTCGTAGCTCTTTTTTTGTCTCTCAATTCACTTGTCATGTAACTCCTGATGACTCTATTTCCTCGCTTGCAGTTTTCATCTGGATCAGCGCGCATCCCTACCTTATTTTCTGGAGAAGTTTGTTGCATTCTTACTGTATTAATACAACTTATTCGTATTTTTTTCTCGGGTTAAACTAATACATTTGAATTTTTTATAGACCACATTCAAAGGCAGAGTGTTTATGACTCATGCAACAAAGGCTATATCACAGCTCTTTTGACAGATTATGTAAAGTAGCAAATTTTCAGTTGAAGACATGTTGTTTGATGAGCAAGACATTAATCGCTCCATGGATAAAATTGAGGTGAGTTCATCATGTGCTGCATGTTAAATTTCTTTGGTATGCAACTTCTGTTTTCCCGAATTCTTGGTTTCCATATCTCAGATCTACATTCAGTTATTATAAAGTTTCCCTTAAATCTATATTGTTGTGAACTTTGGCTCTGTTGTTTAGTTTTTTAAATAGTATTCTATTATGAATAGGATTTTTGGAAAATAGGATATGATTTGAGAATGTTTTTGATACATTTTTGGAAAATTTTTGAAAATATTAAATCATTTTTTACCTCCTAGGTTTGTTAATTGAACACCGTACAATAAAGTTATAAATTTACAAAAACACTCTCACCACCAAACTATTGTTGGCAGCCGCCACCACCACCGACGGTGGTGGAGCTGCCGGGATGATACAACCGATTATCTGCCGTTCGTGCACTCGATCTACCTTTTTTGATCATATCTACGGCCACAATCTGGCCATTGACGACGACCAAACTTGACTGTCGTTGACGGCCAAGATATGGCCGTCGTCAATGGTCATTTCTCTAGCCGTTAACAGCCAATCTTTGGCTGTAGATTTGCGTTTTGGCCACATCCATGGTGGCCGGAAACGATGATCGGCACACTACCAGCCAGATCCAGCCATCGTGCGTCGTTACGGTGCCCACGTGGTTGTTGGTGGTGGGGGTGTTTTGTTAATGTTTGAGTTGGATAAATAGATTGAATTTTGAAGAAATTTTAAATATTAAACAAATATGCATTTTGAAGGATTGGATGGATAACAGGATAGGATAGTAGGAAAATAATGAAACAAATGAGCCGATTTTAATTTTATTTGGTGTGGTATGTTGCTATATTTTATCACCAGTTTTCAACTTTTAATCAACTTATGGTGGGTTCAATTTTTTAACCTATAATTTTATTGTATCTAATCATCACCAATGATGTGATATAATTTTTTTTATTGACCCAGGTTCTTGACTTTCATCAAACGTTGAGGTAAGTGGCATTAAGTTCTGGTGCTATACTGCTGGCCATGTCCTTGGTGCTGCCATGTTTATGGTGGACATTGCGGTGTTCGAGTCCTCTATACTGGAGATTATCTCGAGAAGAAGATCGCCATCTCCGTGCTGCTGAGCTCCCACAATTCTCTCCTGATATATGCATAATTGAATCCACTTATGGTTCCAGCTCCATCAACCACGGCACATTCGTGAGAAGCGCTTCACTGATGTTATTCACACAACTATTCCATGGTGGTCGTGTTCTAATTCAGCATTTGCCCTTGCCGTGCCCAAGAGCTTCTCCTAATCCTTGATGAATATTGGTCAAACCATCCCGAGCTCCACAATATTCCAATATATTATGCTTCTCCACTGCACAGTGTATGGCTGTTTATCAGACTATATCCTTTCCATGAATGAGAGATTCGCAACCAGTTTGCAAACTCAACCCTTCAAATTTAAGCACATTTCACCATTAAATAGCATGGAGGACTCAATATGTAGGCCCAGCGGTGTTGATGCCAGCCCTGGTGGACTTCAGAGCGGCTTGTCACGACAATTATTTGACATATGGTGCTCTGATAAGAAAAATGCTTGTGTCATACCGGGTTATGTTGTTGAAGGGACTTGCGAAATCCATAATTAGTGAACCAAAAGAAGTGACTCTTATGAATGGTCTCACCGCTCCTCTCAACATGCAGGTCCATTACATATCCTTCTCTGCCCATGCAGACTATGCTCAGACAAGAACATTTTTGAAAGAACTCATGCCTCCTAACATAATCTTGTCATGGTGAATCGCATGAAATGGGAGGCTCAAAATGAAGCTTCTGACTGAGTTTGCGGATTGCAACACCAAAACTTAGCACGAATTTTTTAGTACCATGCGAACCAAAGTAATTTCCCAAAGGGGTAAATTATAAATGGACTTTTAACATAGCTTGAATAGAAACATGTAAGATATAATCTTCA